AATTAATGCAATCTTCTAGTGATTGTTCTTCAGAAGTGATGCTCAAGACAAATTTAATACAAGAACTGGAAATACAAGAACACATCAATAATACATCTCAATCAATACATTCACATAGATCTAATCATACATCTCCAATACATGAAAGAACATTAACTCATGATTGTAATTCTGATCTTGCATCTGCTATTGTTGATTCAAGAAATTCTGTATATAGAGGAAAAAATTTGGATAGTGAAGATATATTTATTAGATCACAAGATAACTCAAATATGAGAGATAGCTATTCTCATAATATGAGTAGATATATTTCTTTAAAATTGAAAAATTCTTCACAAGATTCGGATATTATAAATAATGCAGAGAAGAAAATGGACATATATTCTGAATGTGATAAAAAATTGGATCAATGGCAAATTAATCCCCTTGATTCGTGTGTTAGTGAAAATGATGTGCCTTTGCAAGAGCCAAATCGACCTGTAGTTCAAGATCGTATGCCATTTAAATTATGCAAAGATGCACAAACACCTGAAATGCTTGAGAAACTACTGCCTGCATTAAACTTTTATTTGAAACAAACAGCAGAATTATGGCATAGTTGGCATCGTACTACTGATACTAAGTTTCAATGGGGGTCACCCATTCAGGTGGGTACCTCCATTCAATCCATTTCTTACAGATCCTATCATTAACGAATATGAGAAAATAATAGATTTGGAAAGTTCATATTTTGACAATCAATATTAAGTTTTACTAAGCATTTAATTAAGTTTAAAGAGAATTATAGAATGAATTATAAATTTCTCAAATAATAAAATTATTCTAGAATTGGACATTAAATACAATTAAAAATTTGAAAATTAGTTAATAAAAAAGTATTATTTTTCAATAAGATGATCTTATTATCAAAAATAAATAAATATAGAATCTGTTTTGTAAATATAATTTCATTGTTATTCATTTTGTTTTTAAATCTTTTTTTCTGAAAAAAAATTAAATGCTTAAATTTTTATTTTATTTATTTTTCTTTTTTTTTCTAAAGAAAAAAAAATGAAAAAATTTTCAGAACAGATTTCTTTCTTTTTGATTATGATTAATTTAAAATTTTTTTATGAAACAGATCAAAGAAAATTCGTGACATTATAAAATTAGTTAAAAAATTACTAAATTTTTTTTAAAATATGAACTTTCCAAATATTTATTTCTGGATATATAAATTAAATTTTTCATAATATAATATTGTGCCATGGAAAATTAAAATTAAAGTTAAAATTAACTATATGCACATTTTTTTTGAGTTTAATGTTAATATTTGTAAAAGTTCTAGAATTACTATTTACAATTTTAATATAAATTTTTATTAATTCTTTTCAATAAAAAATGTGTAACTGGTTATTATAATATATAATATAATATAATATCTCTTTGACATAAATAATATTTGATGTTATCTCTTATGATTAGCAGTACAATGGTTGTGATAAAATTAAACTAATATATTAAAAATAACTTTAATGGCAAAGTTTACATATTTTTTATTTATATATATATATATATACCAATAATATAACTTGAAAACAAATAACATTAATACTTTGTATAAAAATAATTAAAGATTATGATTGGTGTTTCTTATAAAAATTGCATTTATACAAATACATGTATTCATAAATGTTTATAAAGAAAAACAGTAATTAAAACTGTAAGCTTCAAACAATCTTTGAATAAATCATATTTCTATAAAAAAAGAATAGTTTCATTGTTATAATTCTAATCCTTCTTTCAACATTTCTATAGGTGGGTCTTACTAAAGATAATTTGGATAAAAAGTCAATAACAAATATTAAGACTGAACAGAATGAAATGGAATGTATAAATAAATATAGCAATGAACGAGCTAATAAACGTAAATCAACTATGATTCTTTCTCTTTCTGATGCAATATATTCTAGCAGTGATGAAGATGAATATATTATTAAAAAAAAAAAATTCAATCTTATGAAGACAAAAATAAAGAATTAAGTTTAAATAAAATGGTATATACTGCTAAATGCAATGAGAAAAATAAAAATTTAAATCATGATAATATTAGTAAACTTCTTGATAATAAAGAAATTGAACATTTCAAAATGGAACATAAAAAAGAATCCAAAGACTGTTTGCAATCTGAATTACTTTCTTTATGTCCAAAAAAAATTATACCTCAAATTAGAAAAAATATTAATAAAAATATAAAACACATTGTTAATATGTCTCCCAATAATTCAGTAGCACATAATAGCAATGAGAAAAAAAATACAGTGAATTTGATATCTAAGGATAAAAATAATATTTTGACTGATGAAGAAATTCTCATAGAATTAGAAAAAGATAATGAAAAAGTTAAAACATTTGAAGATAATGAAATTAAACCACTACCCATAAAAAATTTTTCATATAGAATAAAAAATGAATGTATAACTTTAGAAAAACTTCAACTTGAGAAACAAAAAAAATTTGAAATTCAAAGAGAAAAAGCTCAAAAAAAAGAAATCGAAGATAAAAAAAAGAAGAAGAATTATATAAAAAACGAATAGAAGAAGAACAAAAAAGGGAAAAGCAAAGAGAAGAAAAAGAAAAAGATAAAGAAGAAAAAAACAAAAGATGGAATATAGTATATATGAAATCAAAAAAAAAAATTAAGCAAAGAAGATGAAAAAAAATTACTGAGTATAAATAACAAAATGAAATATCAATAGATGATAACAGATTGCTTGAGGTAATAAGTTTTTGTATTTTTTCTAATAATATAATATCACATAATGTTTTATATATTCATATATTAATTTTTTTAGGATGAAAATATTTCTAAAACTAATGAAATTGAAATAACAGATAATAATCTTTCAAATAATATAAATTGTCCTATATGTAATAAATCTTTTCCAAGTGATAAAATAGAAGCACATGCTGCTGAATGTGAACAATATATATCTGAAAGTGAATATGAAAATGATCTACATTTATTAGAAAGTAAATCATTATCAATAGCTATTAATAATGCCGAAATTCTTGAATGTGGTGTTTGTTCGAAATATAAAACGACTAATGGAATACATTATGAAGAACATGTTAATACTTGTTTACAAAGACAACATGAAGAAGAATCCTTAAATGGTAATAATTTCCATTTTATTTGAAAAAAATATATACAAAATCACAATTATATTTCTCAAATTAACTTATAATTATATTATATATAATTATATATAATTGTATAATTTATAATGTTAATAATATCATATATTTTCAGAATATTCAAGCAATGAACTCGGCAACATTCCTAATTCGCCTATTCGTTGCTACCGACCAATTAGTGAACAAACTGATTCGTATATAGATTATAGAAGACAATTTCCTTCAAGCAGTAAAACACAAATATATTCCAGTAGAAAAAGAAAACGTTAAGTACAATTCCTATCTTTAAAACAACAATATGTATATATCTATATACTGATAAAAAAATTGATATTCTATCATGGCTTTAATAACAATGCTATATCATTAATATCATTGAAATAAGATTAATACATTATAAAACGTACAATTCAAACGTTTTATAAAGAAATATCAAATATAATTCTTTTGCATTTGTTGTTTATAACATTCCATGTTTTGTAAACATTTATATATATGTATGTATTATGTATTACAATCATATTTTTTATTTTTGATTAAAATTAAGTTAATGTTGATTAAAATATGTTTCTCTATCGAGAATATAAATTTAAAAATGAAGTTTTATTTAAAAATTACTATTATTTTTTTAATAATACGCACATTAAATTTAAATAATTTAATAATGTAAAAATTTATGTTAGAATATTTTAAAAAATACGTTTCATGCAAAAAACGTATAAGTGTACTGATAATCTAATATCAATTTTTGTAGATCAATTGTAAGCATTTATATTATTATATAATAAAATGTATTTTTATACAGGATTATCATCCTGAATAAAATATTTTATTTACGTTTTGTTTTATTTTACTATAAATTATGAATTAATATATTAATTATATGCAAGTTATATAATCAATTAAATATATTATAGCTGTAATTATAATATTATTCAATATTATAATTATAATTATATATATTGAAATTATTTTCGTATTAAAAAAATATTTTTTTTGTTATATAAAAAATATGATAAAAATTAAAATTAAAGTATGAATGATAAATTATTTTATGATTCATAAACACATATCTAACATATATCTAATCTCTTATCTAACATATATTTCGAAGAAACATGATAAGAAATTCAATTCAAGTTCGACATTTAAATATATAAGATTTATAAAAATAATATTTAAAAATTATATAATATTAAATATAATATAAAACTTCATTAGATTCTCTTAAAACAAGTATTATGAAAATATTCTTTCAATTTATAATCCTTATATTTTTAATTTATAATGTTTTGACTCTAACCTTAGATGGTTCATGGATAGGTATTAAATATGTTATATTAATTATCAATATATAAATATAATTTATAATGATATTTATATAATATCAATCTTATTAAAATTACATATATTTTTAATTTAGGTAAAATTACAACTGACAAATATGAATATGGTAAGATTTTGCGAAAATGATTATCTGATACAATTGTAATATTTTTTAATCATACATATTTTTAGATATCACATTTCCTGCAACTGTACCAGGAGGTATTTATACCGATTTAAGCAATGCTCATATTATATCAAATAATTTTATTGGATATAATGATTTAACTAATCGATGGATCAGTAATCAATCAGTTTTATATACTAAAAGTTTTTATGGTAATTATAAATTATTTTATATTTAATATAAAAATATTAATATATTTACATAAAAATATTTAAAAAAAATTATTAAAGTAAATTATTTATTTTATAGTGAATGATACTTTATTAAATGTTCCTAAAATACTATTAATTTTCCATGGTGTGGATACATTTGCTAAAATTCTTTTAAATGCTAAAAAAATTGGAGAAACATCAAATATGTTTTTAAGATATACATTTGATGTGACAAAGGATTTAAAAGTAAGCTATTTATTTTCATAAAATTATTTATAATATTTATTAATACATTTTCAGAAAGGAGAAAATTTATTAGAAGTTTTTTTTTCTTCTCCTGTTAAAGTAGCTGAAAATTTATATAATGAACAAGCATCAAAATATATAATTCCTCCAATATGCAATCCAAATACTTATAATGGAGAATGTCATATAAACCATATAAGAAAAATGCAAGCAAGTTTTGCTTGGGATTGGGGTCCTGCTTTTCCATCAATGGGTATTTGGTATGTTTATATTCATTTCTGTTATTGCTTTATATTAATTGAAAAATATTTTAGGAAAAGTGTAGAAATAATTCCTGTAAATGAAATTTATATTATGGATATTACAATAGATATCCACAAAGAAATAAATTTTTGGAAAATCATGATTACATTATTCTTTGAAACTACTTTACAAAAAAATAGCCAATTTATAATTTGTGATATTTCATCTGTTCTTAATATCAATGAACAATTAAATATTTATAATTCTACTAGTATTAATTTATATACAAATAATAAATATATAAAAAGTACTACATTTCTCAATGTACCTATAGTATGTACATAATCATAAAATATCATTAATTATATATGATATAATTACATAATTAATGTCTAATCTATATATATTAAAAAAAAATTTTTTTATATAGGATCTTGTTCATGAATGGTGGCCAAATGGTTATGGCAATCAAACTCTTTATTCATTAACTGTAACTGCAACTACTTCTACTAATGTTAAACAAAAAACAATACGTATTGGTTTCAGAACAGTAGAACTTGTACAAAAGCCTCTCAAACAAGGATTAAGTTTTTATTTTAAAATAAATAATATTCCAATATTTGCAAAAGGTAGTAATTTTATACCAGCTAGTATTTTTCCTGAATTAAGTACTAAGATGGATACAATTAAACATTTATTAAAATCTGCCAAAAAAGCAAATATGAATATGCTTAGAGTGTGGGGAGGTGGACTTTATGAATCTGAATTATTTTATAATCTAGCTGATGAATATGGAATCATGATTTGGCAAGATTTTATGTTTGCATGTGGAATGTATCCTACCACAAAAGAATTTCTTAAATCAGTTAGGGAAGAGATAATACAAAATGTACGAAGATTAAAAAATCACCCCAGTATTGTTCTCTGGGCTGGAAATAATGAAAATGAAGCAGCTTTATATGATAATTGGTATGGAACTGGAACTAAACAAGTATATAGAACTGATTATATCAAACTTTATGTAAATTTAATCAAGAAAACAGTTGAACGATTAGATTCTACACGACCTTTTGTGATATCTAGTCCTAGTAATGGATTATATACAGAACAATATAATTATACTGGAAAAAATCCATATTCAAAGATATTTGGAGATGGTAAAATATATCTCTTATTTTAATATAGAAATAGTTTATCTTTATTAATAGTTTATTAATAAAATAATATTTTAGTTCATTATTACAATTATTTTAATAATGGTTGGGATATGCACCAATATCCTCGTGCAAGATTTTCATCTGAATATGGATTTCAATCATTACCATCAATATATACTATGTTGCCAGTTGCAAAATCAATTACTGATTTGGATATAGACAGTAATTTTCTTAAACATCGTCAACATTTACCATTGGGAATATTTTTTTTGAAAAATCTTATTTCAAAAAATTTAAAATTACCTAACATTCAAAACACTTTAAAAAAATTGAAAATTATATATATTTAAGCCAAATTAATCAAGCAGTTTCTGTAAAGATACAGACAGAATTTTATCGACAATCAATGTCGGAATTAAATGAAGTAGGAGAAGGAATGACAATGGGTGCTTTATATTGGCAATTAAATGATGTTTGGCAAGCTCCATCGTGGTCTTCTATTGGTAAATAATTATAATTGAAGATAAGATGTAATATTTAAATCTATTTTGTCATCATTGATGACCTATTTTTTTAGATTTTGATGGGCGATGGAAAATGCTTCATTATTATGCTGTGGAATTTTTTGCACCTCTTATTGTTACATATTATATTCAAAACATGGATCTTTCCATTTATATCGTTTCTGATAAAATATATCCAATAAAAAATGTTACTTAGAAATGAATCTTTATACATGGAATAGTATAAAACCTATACAATCATATTTTCATTCCAATATAACTATTGTAATTATATGATAAAAA